TTTACTTTGATATCTCGTTCCTAAAGTAGAGAAAAAAAATTTTTTTATGTTATTTATTTTTTCAATTTTTTTAAGAGGTTTGGGGGGTGTTTATAAAAAAACCCCCCCAGTCTCTTTAAAAAGGGGGTCCCCCCCCCCCCCCCCCCCCCCTGCCCTGAACGAGCGCTGTGCATTTCGTTTAGGAGAATACAGTGCTTATTAATTATTTCTTATTATTTTTAGCATTGCTTATGCTGATATTCGCCGCTGTTGCTATTCTTTATGTGGAACCTGGAAGGGACATTTTTGTTTACCCTACAATATTTTTCTTAGAGCGTGTAACAAGACAGTTTAACTTATATTTTAAGCTACAGTGGAACCTTAATAAAGCGAACCTCTATATAATGAAGTCCTGGGTATAACAAAAGAACCTCGATATAACAAAACCTCATTATAGCGAACAAATTTTACCATTCCCTTTGCTCCTTGTTATATTGAGGTTCCACTGTACTGGTAATAATAATAATTATTATTGAATAACCATAGTACAGCATAATCTCTGATTGATCAGTTTAACAATTGTTGCAAGTGGGTGCAAGCTAAGGACAGTTAAGCAAGCATCACAGCTGTGCACTAATGACTCAGAATGTGTTACAAAGGTTTTTGTATCTGCTAAGAGACACTTTTGTACTTCTTCTGTACTTAGCAACCTCCTGCTTGCATCCATAACTAATTGGTGCACTAGCTGAGCCATTTAACGATAATTTTTATTAACATTTTGAAATGCTACAGTAAAACTGAGATAGATGGTTTTTCAATGAGTGACATTTGCGGTTCGAAAGAAAAACTCTGAGTTTTCCCAAAAGGAGTCAACCCTACATGTATGACCTTCTGATTACTAGTCCAGATGCTCAACCACTAAGCTATGCTAGACTTGTGGGAGCAAAAGGCCACTTCTGAGCCGCCTCTGTCACTGACTAAAAACTCACATCTCTATAACCGCAAAACTACATTCATGTATTACAGTAGAACCTCAATGTAATGAAGGACCAAGGAACTTTCAAAATTTGTTCGCTATCATTTTCCATATATTTTACTATTACTGGGGTAATGAAAATCATTCGTTATATTGAGGACTTTGTTATACCAGGGCAGGACTGTCACTAAGATTTCATGTTGCTGGGTATATGCAACTAGTAGACGGGGAATTGAACAGTTAGGAAGTTAGTTGTCCAATGAAAGTAGTCGGGAGTCATGCATATATGAGCCTGGGGAAATCCCTGGCTCCCACCCTCAGGGTGCAAAGAAAGACAGTTTTACAGCTTGCCATTCAGGCAGCATGTACTAGCCCACAAGTCATTTCAACTAGCCCAAAACCCTTTTTGATTAACAGGATTGATCACAATCCTTCTGTAATTTGAATTTCCCCCCAAAAACAGCGCTTGCCCATCAGGCAAGTAAAGAACAAAAATCACTAGCGCAATAGCAAAATCCACTAGCCCCAGGCTATAAGACACAACTTTCTTTGCACGCTGCACTCTTTAGTGGCAGCACTGCAGGGCCTACAGTATTATCAAATTGAAATAAATAGAGATATACTTTAAGAACTAAAGACATAAAAGGCAGCTGTTAATAACAAGCCCACTAGAAAAAATAATAGCTCTGTAATACAATCATTATTATTAATAATAATGGCCTTCTCACGGTACCTTTTGATTTCTTTGATTCCTTTGTTCTTCACAGCAACCAGGATCTTGATAAGCTAGATGTAAGTAACAGATTACACTCAGTTGATTTTAAAAATCATAACTTTACATTTTTACATGTATTTTGTAGATAAAATTATGTCAATGCATAGAATCTCAAACCCAGACCTTCTCAGCCTGTGGGAGAAACATACACTGTATGCTACTATATTGACAAGTTTAGTAAAATCAACATGTTATTACTGTATTTATTAGGCACCCTGGGTGCTTATTCAATTTTTAAGTCTTGAGAGTGGGAGCTTTTTTGAGGTTGGCGCTTGTTCGAGGCTGGGTATTAAATTTTCATTATTTTCAGCCAGTAGTAGGTCAATTTTCCAACAAAACAGTAAATAATAACAAACATGAAGGTGAACCAAAGGAGAATTTCAACTGTTCATTGAAAAAGAAGACTAAGAACTTGGTCTTTGGAGAAGTCTCTTAGTAATACCTAGTCAAAATTTCTATTTCATTTTCAGTAAGGGCAAAAGGCAAACTCTCTGGTGTTGCCTTATCGATGTCTCACAGTGTAACATCTGCAAATGGCCAGGTCATTCGATGAGAAGCAGAGGGCATTAAAGAAATCATAAACAATA